TCGGGAAAAAGTGGGGTTATAATAAATTTAGTTACTTATCAATGAAAATTACTTTATTGAAGTAGAAAATAAATAGTATTACACTCGAAATAATGCGCATTATTTACTCGGATGATTTACGTCTCTCGCCTGACGGCTCAAGATTCAAACCTCATTCGTGTGAATATTAGCCTGCATTATCTCTCTTATAAAAATATTCCTACTATTTCACACAGAAATGTCACTTTACATTCGAGTTTTACCTTGCCAATAAAAAGATTCATTTTTTAAGACACGATATCATTATGAAATGTGTCGGTCGTAGAAAAAATATTTTGAAGCCTTTGCACTAATAGTTAACTTAAATAATCAATTCCCGACTAACTGTGAGTTTTTTTATTAGCTTGGCTACAATGTCAATTAACGCGTTTGTTTTTTTATTTATTTACAAAGTTGGTATCTGATTCAATTTTAAAATTTGATGACAGCCAGGAAAAACTGTCAGCATATTTTCCAATTGCAATTCCTAAAATGGAAACTAAATTTAAGCGGCCTAGTAAATCGAAAGAAAAAAACGCAACATTCACAAAGCTTTCCATAAAATTCTGGCAAATCTTATAAAAAAAAAAGAATAATTTAAGGGATCACCTAACCTTAAATTCAAAGACTTTTGGATCTCACCGCAGAAAATTAATGAATGCGCTGGTGTGGAAAGGACTCCACAGTGTGGACACACAGAAAAAGTAACTATATGTAACCAGACTACCGTACGTGAGTATATCATTAAAAACTAAGTTTATCTACGATTGCTACGTAAATTGTCCTGTCCTGTCAACTTGGCATGTAAGTTGGTAAATATGTAATGAAGGTAGTTTTCATAATTGAATCGGTGAGAATAAAAACAGTACAAGTCAAAAAATTTAATTTTGAAAAGTCATTTTTTAAAATCAATTTTAAACTTTAAAATACATTATTGTGAGAAGATATAAATCATTTTACAGAATATGAACATTATATTTTATTAAATAGTTAAAATATTTCCGCAAAAATGCATTTTGAACTATAAAACTGATTTTTTGAAATATTGTGCCAAAATTTTGACTTTTGGACTTGTAATGTTAATCTCACCGATTCAAGTAAATGTAGCATAAATATATAAAGTTTTAAAAAGTTGTGATAGGGAATTTTTGTTTGTTACTTATTATGGTGGCGACACTGGCAATATTTGTCAAAACTGACTGTCAAATAAAAAAAATTAAAAATAGTTATTTTTTAATAAAAAGGTAAAATTAATGTAATCGTAGTCTTAACGCGAGATGTAATTACGCGACTCGCGACCTAGCCGCTTGCGCTTGCTACTTACATTTCTTTAATATAATATACTAAAAAACAGGTTACTTAAATGACGATTTAAAATTATTACTTTCAGTGTGTTTTATATAGGCTAACGAAACAACGCGGTGGTGTTCGATAGCGTTGTGAGAAATCAAGAATTGTCAAGAATATTTAATATTTAAGCACACGAACTGCACATCATTTTTAAATAAATAAGTAGTTTTTTCACAAAAGAGAGGAAGACAGAAAGAAGTCTTTCACGACAAATTTTGTTCAAATGCACAGCTAAATCGCTCACGTTAGTTGTGTTTTGCGATGCAAGTAAAAACTTTGGTTTGGTACTTGATTTCGATGTATTATTCCTTATATAATTTTCATATGGAATCTTTAGCAAACAGAAGATTTGTCTCTAGTCAAGTTTTACTCTATAAATTATTAAATAATAAAGTTAATGCAGCGGAGTTACTTTCAATGTTTAATTTTATTGTTCCTAGAATAAGTTCCCGTAGTACACTTACATTTATAAATCTATAGATATGCTAGCTCCAGGACTAATGTGCATTTAAAATCTTCTGTGCAGGTTATGTGTAATAATTTCAATAAGATCTGTAATGTATTTGATATTAATAATTGTAGTATTAAGGAATTGGTTAATTATTGTTATCAATATTTATGTCAATTTAGTTAGATTTGTCTATACTATTATATACGTATTATTATTGTCCTGTAAATGGTTTATCTGTTGGGCAAATAAAGAATTTATTTATTTATATCATTGATTAAGAAACTCAACGCTTATATGCTTATATACTTAAGTAAATGTGTATTTTATCTAAGTGATCATAGTGAATTATTGTGTTTTTAATTGTAAATAAAATTCAAGAACTAAATCGTTGCAATTTCATATTTTGCCAAAGGTTTCAATACTGTACGTATATTTGTTGGTGCACAATTACCTAATGATAACTTTACCTAGTACATTGGACATTTTTAAGAAATCTAACAAAAAATAATTGTTGTGCAAACACAACCTTATATCGAACATTTTTATATTTGAGTCCTCTAAAAAAAAACCCCGACAAAATTATTTTAAACGATCAAATATACCAATATAATACCGGTTCTTGGTATTTTATTGTTTCTTAATCAACGCTTATAATAATGCCAAATGATGTCAAATTTAGACGACTTATTTGTTTTATGATTTTTACTGAATTGAAATGTTTACAATTTGTACGTAAATCATTACTAAAATATGTATATTGTATCTACTAGGAACAATTTATATTTACAGGGACTGTATGCAATTTATTTATTTATTCAGATATCCCTTGCTTATTGGGAAACCCTTAAAAACTTAACCCAGAATTTTCTCTTGAAAAACACCCAACAACACAACAAATTGTGCCACGGTTTTTTTCGATATTTTTAACATTTTCCGGCTTTATTCTCAAAAATCCTCGCTTGTAACATACGCGTTTGACAGCTGCTTATTAAAAGCTGAATTCTGGCGATGCTTCATAAGCGTATAATATTAAAATTTCCTAATAGCCGACTAAATGTAAAAAAACAAACAAAATATAAACATGTTAAGAGTAATATAATTAAATCCATAGGTCGACAAACTACAAAAACAATAATGTAACTTTTTTGTATGTCTAGTCAAATATTTGCATCGTCAACAACTTAATTCATCTAATAATCGATAAGAGAACAATTTGAAACCGAGTCAAATCGAATGAGCGCATTAAAAAATATACTTTTCATTTCGTTTACCATAAGTTTTTTAGCTGTGTCATGGCGCTGTCGGTATTTTATTAAATAAATCTAGCTTGTCATTATTTGTATAAATAAACATTTCAATAAGATCGTGTTGTTGCTAGGAGCTATTCGAAATGCAACAAAGACAATCGTTGTTTTTGTGTATATCTACGTACGGGATCTTTTCACGAAACTATTGACGAAGGTAACATTTTTTACAAACGATACTATTCGAAAAATTTAACCTTTATGAAGAACCGACAGGTACAGGTTTAAATTTATTTTAGTAAATGTCTTATAACGGGTTTTAATAAAGTTTTAAATTATTAATTATAAAGTGGATTCTTCAAAATTTTCCAAACGCTAACCCCGTCAATCTTTATAAAATAAGCAATACCTTTCCAATTCAAGTTAATGTAATGATATATCTTTTTAATCTCAAATATAAGCTAATATACTAACTTTCCAACTCTGGGTAAACAAATCTGTAATTTTTTTAATTTAACAAATATTTAATAGTATTAAGTTTTAGAAACGATATTTTAGTTACGTGTTTTATTAGGCACCGGTGAAGCTTACGAGAGAGTGTTTAATAAAAACGTGTCTAGAGAAGTTTATAAAACGAATTGTATACTAAACTGTATCTATGACGAACAGAAATAAGAATTTAAAATATTTGACATCTGACTAATTTAACCTCACTTTTTCGCAATTTATAATAAAGCTAACTTCATCCGTGACTAAAATTTCCAAAAGCCACTGTTGTTAACTTCAGCCTGTGAGTAAAACGCCATAAAATCATAGCTCGTCAATGTAGGAGTAGATAAAAGTTTTTATAAAAATTTCAGTGTATTTAGATATATGTAAGTAAACATTGCTTTTGGTATTAATTTGTAAACAATTTTAGAAGCATATACAACAGTTAGATAGATAGATTTGCCTACAGTTTATCCAGAATTTGGTCATAAATACCTTTTAGTCGTAATAATTTGCAAGAAAGTTTATCTTTCGTTTATAACATTTTATAAAAAAAGACAATTAAAGTTATGCTATATTTTTGCCCTCTGGATTACTTTTTGCCGGCGCCCATGGTTGTATAGTTGTATAGTTTCTGTAGTGAAAATAGTGAAAAAATAGTTTTTAGAATATTATGAAGCTTTTATGACAAAGTAGATAACATATTTTCCGTTGTTAACTTAACGGTTTTAATGCTTTCCGTAATGACTATTTTAATTTTTATCAAAATTGTCTCATTATAATGCATTGTGTAAAATTTATCCATACATTTTTTAAATAAAATAAAAACAATGGTTTTCCCGAGGGTTTTCTTCTATTGTTAAGGTATTTAATAATAATTATTATATTAAATATATCGATATAAATATGTGTTTTTATTCGATAAAAATATAAATTTATGAATGCTTTTTCCAGACATAAAAAATTAAAACAACAAAATTATTCATTATTGTTAATTTTAAACCATTCCTATTCATTTTAAGTAAAACTAAAAACAAGTATTTATGAATATGGTAATTTATGGATAATTTTCAATAAATTAGTATTGGGTACAACCCATTTCCATTGTAAATTTATTTAAAACCATTCATGAATGAGTTTGGGAATATTCAAAAATATAGATAACGCGAACTAGGGTATGATTTTTATTAAATAAATTATACAATATGCATTTTTTATTTATTTAAGGGTTATGTTTAAATTACATGTTTTAGTTATAAAGCAGTGATACGTTAAATTATTCAAGGTATTTATAATTTGCTTGGTGTTCTTAAAATAGCTAGATATAGCGCCTTTGGAGAAAACTTATGTTTACTATTCTTTTTAGATTATAAATCAATCTTAAATACAATTTTTTACCAATGTTAAACTTTGTGTTTATAGTGTATAATATTTGTATTAATACTCACAGGCTCCTGCAACGTGTACTTTTCGCATCCATGGGTAAATTTGTCTGTCCCCGGATTCGTCATCTTCTTCATCTTCATCATTATTCGTAGAACTACCCTGTCCATCGTCTAAATCGTCCGGTTCGTCGGAACCGTTGTCTTCTAACCTTAGTCCCAATTCCTGCAAAGTGCGACCGCCGGGAGGTGATCCCCTTGATTCCTGCCCGTGTCCCGCACTGCCAGGACTACAAACACTAGAGTTCACGTCACTTGGTTGGGAGGTAACATTAGGAGAAATGTCCGCTAAATTTTGTAGGATGTTCGAGGAACTGCTTACCGGAGTCTGTCCACAATTTACCAAAGGCTGCTGGTTATCGTGAATTTGAATGGATGGTCTAATTTGGTGCGAATGCAACGAGGGAGCATGGTGAAGCTGATGGTGATAGTAGTTACCATAGCTTCCATACCCTGTATTCGATAAAGGAACTCCTGCGGAACCATAGGACGTCGCTTGGTGGTGATTATGGTAACCGTATTGCAGATGATGCTGTTGTTGGTTCAAATAAAAATTATCACTGGACGAGGGTATGTAACTGTTCTGACTGTACTCTTCACTAGGTGGAAACTTCGGATCCACCACGGGCATATGCTGGCTTTGTTGATAGCCAGCACCCGCCACTGGGTTCATTAAAAACGAACTCATCACCATTAATTTTTACCGAGCTCTAAAACGTTTGCTGTGTATAACTCAAGTTTACGGTGGGGACTAGGGATCCTTTTTTTCCCCCCGCACCACAACGCACAGTACACGCCTACAGCACCCAATTAACTAACCACGTGACTAACTGCGTTCCAATAACCGCGCATGACGTCACATACCATGATGGATGGCGAAGCCGAAATGCAAGGGAGGGGGCTTGTTGCACACGCGGACTTTAACAACAACAGTTCTCAAAACAAAATAAACCCTTATTTTCTTCTAAAACAATAACTCGATCTGATGCTGAGTGGATAAGGTAATATGAAAAGTATGCAGTATGCTACTACTTATGACAATACACTTTTCACCATCTTTTAATACTTCACACAAAATAATGTCCACATTCATTATGCGACTTGGTACAAATTGTTCTTATCATATTGTTTTAAGGTGTAGCAATTTCACTGTATCAAGTTTGGTTGCCGGGTTTTGACTGGAGGTCGGAGTCATAGTCATGGCATATCCGAGTGGCAGTTCAGCTAGGCCCCGCCCCCATAAAGTCGTCTGCTTATCGGCGAAGGCTGCCGTCTCTCCATCTTCGTCGCATCCTTTCAATTCCCACGAGAGGGACCGAAATGGAGATAGACAGCTCCATGGAGGGAACGTCGCTGTTGCGAGTGCCTCGTGGGATTCGTGGGGGAAAAATACACGGACCGATGATTTTTTCACGAAGTGCTAAGTTTCTTGCTAAATTTTATGGATTGATCCTTTAAAAAGGCCTTCGGTTAATGAAAAATAAAAGTAATTGGGCAGGGTTTATTGAAAAAACTATAAAATAAGTTTCCTTAATATATGTAATGGTTTTATATTAAGTAACTATAAATGTAAGATTGGTAATAAATAAATAAAAATGTTGAAAAACAGAATTAAATTAATTAGATTTTAAAAGAAAGGTCGGTTCTTGTAAAATATTCTATTAAGAAAACAAAGTACAAATTCTAAATAGTAATTAGAATTTGTACTTTATTTTTTAAATATGATTTTAACTGAATTATGTTCTTCATAAGAATATAAGCTCTAGCTTCTTAATCAAATTATGTACTATTAATTAAATTAAATCAGATATTTTCAATTCCAATATGCATATGCGCATGTTAATATCAATAGTCTAAATAATACATTTCCTCGAATGATTTAATTACATGTAATATGAAAAAACATAACATCCAACTCACAAGTTTCTTGTAATTCAAAGAAATTGAAGTGGTGAACCACTATAAGGTTTTTGTAACTAAATTACATAAATTTTGATATTCAATTACATTGAAATATTTATTCGGTAATTATTTGCTAAAATAAATATACAACAAAAATTACTTAATGGGTATCAACGATTCTAGTTTAAATCTTTTAAATTTGGTATTTTTTACTGAATCTAAACCAAAAATCACTTTTAATAGGAATTGCATGCAAAAGCTTAAATCTCTTTTTATTACATATTTCTATTACCTAATTAGTCCAAAAACTAGTAAGTAATAATGACAATGTAAAAATGTTTATCTTTACAATATATAAAGTTTTATGCATAATTGTATAAGTATACTTATAATATACATATATTCCTGTAGGTATTGTATTTTGCCTAAATTTTTAACAAGTTACCGTCTTTGACACCAAGGGGCAATTTTGACACTATAAACATTATTTATCGTTTTTTTGTTAACGTTTTTGACGTACAACGTTTTTTTATTTTATTTTTATATATTAAGACATGTTTCCTTGAGTTCCTTGTTTCATTCAAAGACTAAGACAATAAGAACGTTTTATTTTTGTAATAACCAATTAAAAGTGTCTTAAATAAATATATTTGGCGAATAAACTTGTTTTTGTTTACGAAAATTTTTTTTCTTAAATTTTTATGACTTTTTTTAATTCTGCGTTTATTATTACCGGGGATTCTTTGACACCGAGACGCTTTTAAATGCATTTGTAGTTAAAATTAATAGGTATGCCAAAACGGGATAACTTTGACATACCCATTTTTATTTGTTTTTATTTTAACTATTGTTTTAGAGCAATTTGGAATGCAGCAATCGATTCAGCAGATCGGATTTGTTGTAATCCAGTTTATTTAACAACATTTGGTTGACAAATAACGGCGTTGTTTTGAAAAATGTTTTAAAAAGGTGTAAACGTAGCCCCGTTTGACAGTAATCTTGTAAATTTACAACAAAAATAATAAAAATAAAATTATATTATTTTAATATCATGATTCATTATAGTACCTAATAATTATTGTCATTTTCGAAAGATTTGTAATATTACTAACTTTTTATAGTAAACATTTAGTAAATTTACCATTATTTTTATCAGTGCAAAATTAATTTTATAATAGTAGCTCAGACATTCCACGCTACTCGGGAATTTTTGGAGCGTCCGTTACAATCAAAAATTGTGATTAAAAGCTAACGTAATTAAATTAAATACTGTTACAATAGTTAATATTGCTAACATGTTTATTATGCTTGTAATAATTAGGCTTAAACTTAATAATAATTACGGTAGTTTTACTCACAATTTTTGATTGTAACGGAAGCTACAAAAATTCCCGAGTAGCGGGGAATGGCTGAGCTAGATCATCTGTGGCTACTTTTAATATAAGGATTATTTTCGTGTCAATCAAAACACTTATGTAGAATGTACATTTTGTAGTATGTAAATTATTAGTTTTGCATTGCCTTTCCCCCTAAACAAAATCATGGCTACGCCCTTGTTCACTTTTAATATTAAAGTATTTTTTTTATGTTTTTTAATTTGACTTATTATCGCACACTTGTATACTAAAAATTTATCCAACTATTATCAGTTCTAGAATTCTAATTTTAAAATGACATTGTACATAAAAAGTAAAGGTACCTAATTCAAAAATTTCCTAATAGGTATAATATTATTATTAATATTATTCTGCACATGTAATGTAATTTAACTATGACAGGTATGATAAATGCGTGCATATTAGACAATAATACATAAACAATAATTAGCAGGCAATAAAAATTTAAATGCGTTACACACAATAAAGAATTGTTGTAATAAATAGCTTTTTGTTCGAGGTGAATTAAATGTATACTCAGAAGATGTTAGATAAGTGATAATTATAGGTCTATTATACCCTATAATTTTATACTTAGTTAATTTTTATTAACATAAAGGCTATAGTTTTGTTGTACAATTTTCAATAAATTTAAGATTAAATTTCATATAACAATACCATTTGAGATTTCCCACCTTTAAAACGCCCATTATCGTACACTAAGTGACATTTTAAATACACATCGAGTTAGTTTTAAATTAGTTGACAGTTATGAAATGTCATACAATCGTTAAAATAAAGTGGCCATCTTCCAATATAATTTTATATGTAAAAATTATTTTATTATAATAATACAAAAATACGAAAGCATTAAATAGTTTCTTGGCGCCAATATTTGAAAATTTTATATGTACATTGTACTGACCTATTAATTTCGCCGGCAGTAAACTAGATTTAACTTAATTTCGGGTAAAGACTCCACCGTGGAGTGCCCATAAACCATTTTCTTCACTTTTTCTGTGAAAAACTGTTTTACTCCATTTTCAAGGGATACATTTCGATTTACACTCACAAATTTGACATTTTCATCGGCGCGCCGGTAATACAGATTCCCATTCTTACGGTTACTCTACTTTTGTATAGATGTTGCTGTATATAAATATTTAATTTAAATCATTTCTAGATAATAATAAGTATTTGTCGTAAAACAAGTATATTATGCTTATAAACTTTTCTAGGCAGTAAGAAGAGTAAAAAAATCATCAAAATAAAATGAGCGGTTCGAAAAGATCAACATTAAAATTGTGGCAAATTTCTAGTGGCCGCTTTTTTTGCCGGTGAGTATATATTAATGAAATGATCACATATTATTTAAAGAATATGCAATAAACTTTTAGATTTCTACATTAAAGTTTAGTTTAAACTTTAAACTAAACTGATCTAAACTAAATGACATATGGCTGAGAAGAGAGTATTTTTGTACTGAGCTCAAAGTTTGAATGCCGACGCGTAGCGAAGGCCTACAGATAAGCGAAGCGCAAAAAAACACTTCTCAGCTGCATTACATACAATATTTTGATAACGATTACGACATTTTTTAGCAAGGCACAAAAAACGCCTCAACCGAATGGCATACAACATTTTATCATCAAGGCACAGTTTTATTTGTTAAAACGTTTTGATAAAACGTACCTACAATTATAATAAAAATTATTATAATATAATTATATATTAAATTAATAAATTATAAATTAAGGTCGAATTTTTTTATTGATCCTAACGGATCTTTTACAGGCTGACATTACCTGATTGGTCTAAATTATTTTATTATTATTTTTATTTTAGTGAGAGTTACCAATAATAAAGCTTAAATTATAGAACGCTAATAAACTTTATTTATTGAAAATTCATTTTTAAGGTTACATTTCGACCAAAGATATATTTAGTGAAATAAAACAAGAAACTATTTCTATTTCCTATAATAGGTCTCGTGAAACAAAAAAGCAAAAACAAAACAAACCATAATTAATCTTTCTGTCTGTTGCTGCTTGAAATATAAGTATAACTCGTATAATTTTTCCTACAGGTACATTTTTCTACTACTTTTATTTCAGTTCTTTGTTTGTTTTTAATACAAAGCAACATGCTTTGTTGATTGTATTTTTTAATAATGTATTCATAGATAAAACGGTGTTTTTAAAGTTGCAGAATTTTCCCCAAATATTTACTTTTACCCCTGAGAATAAAAAGTAGCGAGAAATCAGTCGGCACCTCGTTAGTAGTTTGTCTATTTTACCGACAAGCACGAACAGAAAAGTAATGTCACTATTTTAATGCAAATGTCATACAAATTGAAGGTATTGTTTAGAGTTGTCAAGCAAATCAGGTAGTGCCAATTCCCTGATGAACAACGAGCATGTTGTTGCGGTATCGATAGTAGAATCAAAGAATTTTTGTTAATAATTTGCTAGTGCCGACTGGAAAATATACCTACAATATTTGTACTTTTAGTATTATTTTTATTGGGACAATATTTACAAATTAAATCTTCCATTTCAATTACTTTAGTAGGTAACTCCAAAGTTGAAAGTGGAAATAATATTGTTTTAACTTAAGTAAAAATAAAAAAACATTTGTGTAAACTGCCCTACTACTTGCAAAAGAAAAAGTCCTATAAATTAAATTTTCCATGTAGTTAAACCCAAACAGCAATGGTTTTTATTTATTTATTTGTTAATTTAATAGTATATTTTGTAAAGTTTAATAAACGGCATTTTAGTCAATTATTTTAATTATACTCGAGAGAAGATTGCAAGCGAGTGTTTAATAAACGAGTGTCTTTAAATAATCAGACTTTTTCTATGACGAAAAGAAAAATTAAATAAAAATAAAT